CTCTCTCTCTCTGTCTCTCTCTCTACTCGTCATGGACGCGTGGGCCGCGCTTAACGTCTGCTCGAGTCCACTGCTTGCGCTCACATGCCTGGGGTGTGAGATCGACCCACAGGTCCTGCACATCCCTCATGGAGAGCATGTCGGTTCATCATCTCCATCATTATCATCATCATCATCATCAGGATCACCATCGTTATCATCATTATCGAAGTATTGTTATCCTCCTCCCCCTCCTCAGCATCTTCTTCTTCGTCATCCTCATCAGCGTCCTTTTCATCGTCGTCGTCATGATCGTCACTGTCATCGTGGTAGTCCGATCGAAGATTTTGCTGATTCGAGTCATCGTGGCTTGGGAGTGTTCGGCCGGGCCGAGCGTGCTTGCGTCTAAGGTCATACCTGCGAACCTCCCGGCCCACAGCCGTCAATCTCTCCAATGCGATGGAGGCTCTGGAAGAGGCTGGTTTCTTCATGCTGTGTTGGCTCCTGAAGGTAAACAAGATTGGGCTGCCACCGAAGTCACTGAAGCATGGTATCCAGGTCGTCAATACTGCCCTTCAGTCGGGTTCCCACGCGGCGCAGGCGAGGCACCAGAGAGCGCGATAGAGATAGAAAGCTTTCCTTGCTCAGCCCCACGGCCCGCTGCTTCCTCGCCCAGCGCAGGTGTATGAGGTCTACGTGTGTGCGGCAGAGCGGATGCTGGAAGAGGACGTTGCAGCTAACAAGGCCGGGTCAGTCCATTCCGTTCTTTGTTTGCGGTGGTCGCTTTCGGTTTGTCGCCAGTCCTCAGGCCATTGGCGAGGCCGGGGCAGACGCCATCCTCGCCGCGATGCAGGCTGAGCTGTTACGGCCCTACCTGTGCTTGAACAAGAGGTTTGCTCCTAGTCGTCGACTGGAGGCCTCTGGCCGTGGTGGAAGCAAGGCTCGGGTGTTGACAATCCCTAAACCCTAAACCCTAAACCCTAAACCCCAAACCCCTAAACCCCTAAACCCTAAACCCTAAACTCCTAAAGCAAGGCTCGGGTGTTGACAATCTGCAACACGGGCTCGCTGGCCACGGCGGGCTGGGGCACTGCGCTGGGCGTGATCCGCTCGCTGCACGCCAGAGGCCGGGCCACAAAGCTCGTTGTTTTTGTTCTTTGGCGGGGCTGAGGGGAGCCCATGATATTATGGTCTATTCTGTTATGGTACAGTACCTTTGATTTGATTGGACAGTTTAGATGAGATGAGGTCCGTTTAGGTTTTACTGAGTCATACTAGTCTACAAATTGTTAGGTAATAACAACATGTATCAGGTTATTTCATATCATGTCTGATTCTTTGACGACAATCTTGTACCACAATGCTTAAAAACCCTTAACCCAAAGCCCTAAACGGCGTGCGAACTACTTTGGAGGCCGCCTGGAGCGTGCCTTCGCTTGTGAGACGAGGCGCTGGCCTGTGCTGTGCTGGGGCGCTCAGTAGGATAATGTATATTGTAGCATAGTAAGATAGTATGGTTTAGGGTGTAGGCTTTGGGGATATGTGACATAGTACTAAGATAGTATGGTGTAGGGTGTAGGGCCTAGGGTGTAGGGGATATGTATCATAGTAAGATAGCATGATATGATATGCTGTTGTTTCGGAGGTAGTATCCTAAGATACTATGAGATGATAGGCTATAGTATTAGAGATCACAATGCAGTTTTCTGTACCATGATACAGTCTTGTCTAGTATCTTTCGATTGTTGTGTAGTGTTGGAATGTGTCGGAACTCTCTCTTGGGCTTTGGCCCAGGCCGTACAACCAGGGCGCTCGGCTGACGGCCTTCGAGCGGCTCGGCAATCTCATGAGAGTAGAAGTATGCCGGACTCAATATTTTGGGTCCAGGGATCAGGTTTAATGTAGACACCACCAGTGACCGAGGTTTGTGGAGGATGGGATTCCGGGAACGCTGCCACTTTGAAGCACGAAGGGCGAAGGACACGTCAGGAGAGGGATTGGCCCAAGCTCGTCCTTCTCCTCATCAGAGGAACGATAAGAACATCTTGGTCTCATCGAGTCAGCTCTCTCGCTCTCTCTCTCTCTCTCTGTCTATCTGTATCACTCGCCACTCCTTTCAAGATAAGGCTACGCACAGAGCCTGCTTTGTTGCAAAAAGATATTCGCGGTGGCTTTGCTTGCCACAAATCTGTCAAGTGATGGAGTGGCATTGAGGATATGCGACTCCATGGCAGCTTCGCTGATGCAGCGCTTCGGAGTGGATGCCTGCGTGGTGGGAGCAGACCGGGTGGCAGCAAACGGCGACACAGCTAACAAAATCGGCACCTACGCTTTGGCGGTGCTGTGCCGACACCACGGTGTGCCTTTCTACGTAACGGCGCCCCTGACCACGCTGGATGCAGCAGCCTCAGACGCCTGCAAGCCTCTTGACAGATGAGCATTCTTACGTAGGTTCCTGATTGTGAACAACAACCCCTCTAGGTTCTTGATTATGAGCAAATAATCCCTCTTGCGCAAGGGGGGGGGGTCTGTAATCACGTGCGTGCGTCGGGTCATGGAGGGTATAACGGGGACTTCAACGGGGTACCCAAAGCGCGCGCTGGACTACCCAAGGCCAAAACTCGGAGCGGCTCGGACATTCCCATCGAGGCGCGCGTGGAAGTCATGGTCTTGGTTTTCAGTGCTCAGTCACAGACCAGAAACTCAGATTCCTCAGCCACAAAGCCAAAGAAACGAGCCTTCCCTGAATGCCATTAGGGTGGAGAAGCGGACATGCCTGCAACAACCTAGCTTTCGGGCTCAAGATCTGCCCGAGATGGATCCGGATTTTTTGTTTGAAACGGTGCGTGATGGCGACTTCTCGGAAGCCAAAGAGGCGCTGTCGAGAGTCGACGTGACCTGGCGGCACAGCCAGCTGAAACAGAACGTGATGTTCTTCATTGCGGCACGACAGCGCCGCGGGTCGGAAATACTAGGCAGACGTGCGGTCCGAATGGGTGTACCTCTCGCAGAGGTGGACACGAATCACCAGACGCCCTTGTTCTACGCAGCCTCCCGTGGAAACCTGCCCATGGTGCGGTTCTTGCTGAACTTGGGATTTGAGGTCAACTTCCGGGACTGTTGGAAGGAGACCGCCCTGTTCTACGCCATCAATAATTCACACATGGACGTCGTGAACGTTCTGGTCGAGCATGGCGCCTCACAGTTGGTGAAAACCCAAGAAGATCAACAAGACGAACCAGCTCGTGCCCGACACCCGCA